CGGGGCGGGGCTCTGGATACTGGGGGGGGGTTGCTTTTGGGGTGCAGGATGCGCCCCCCCCTGACTTTGGGGGGGGGGGGGGGGGTTGGGGGGCCAAACCCAAAAAACCCCCCCAAAAACCGGCGTTTTTGGGGCAGATGAGAAAAGATCGCATGGGCACGGCAGCCACCGCCCCGGCTTGGGGCCAAAACTCCCCGAACCGCTGTGCCCTTGCTGCAAAAGCTTCCCTTTTCTGGGGGAAAACCCCCAAATTCAGCGCCCGCGCCGATTTTGGGTCTGTTGGCTGGATTTACTGCGCCCTAGGGGTGTGCGGGCGAGCCGAGCTGGCTCTAATTCGCTTTGATCTGTAGGTTTGAAGCAGAAAATGCGGACTGTTTTTTAAAAAAGAGGGATTTTTTTTTTCCCCAGCGTGGAGAAAAATGGGGATTTAGGCGATTTTTCCGGCAATGCCAATTTCTGAGCGGCGTTTTGGAGTGAGAGGAACTTGCTTTGGGTATGCGAAACCTCCCGGGCACCTGGTGATGGGTGTTTCGTGCCGCTTGTGGGTGCTTTTTGGGTGTCGACAACGCGTTTTTCCTGGTTGGGGGGAAAAAAAAAAAAAACCCCAAACCCCAAAGCAATGCTAAACTTCTGCAAAAAACCAGAAAAATTGCCAAATTTCCGGTAACCGTCCTCCTTCCCCCTTTTCTTTTTTTCTTTTTTTTTTTTCTTTTTGCTTTTATTTGCACTTCTCTTCCCGTTCAGACTTTGGCCTTTCCCAGGGCTCGCGCATCCCTGCGTGTCCCCGGGCAAGCTCAGCCGCGCTGGAAAACGCCGCTCTGGCCTAGAAGTGACCCAAAAAAGGACTGAAAACACCCCCCCCAAAAAAAAAAAAAGGATTTACGTCAAAGTGGGAGCAGAGGCGAGGTAGGGAGCGCAGCGTGGGGCAGCGAACCGTGGGCCAACGCCGGTTGGGGTTTACGTCGAGCCCGCGGCTCGTGGGTAGAACGTCCAGCAGAACCCAAAGCGGTTGGTTTTAGCCCCAAAATGCGGAGCTGGGGCGTTTGGGAGCCCCGCAGGAGCGAGCGCCCGTGCCCTGCGAAGACGGGACCGTTGGGGCCGGTTTGCCGGGTCGGGAGGAGGATGTGGCCGTGGAGCTGCCGAAATTAATATGTTTCTTTCTTAAAAAAATACACGTTTAAATCGCAGCCTCCGGAGGTGGCCGGCGGGATGCCGACACGTGAGGTATGGCGCTTTGCGGGGCACGGTTTGGGGTTGTTCGGGGCATTTCTAACCACTTCCAAGGGAAAAAAGGGATGCTTCCGAGCTCCTAGAAAATTATTGAAAAAACCAAATAATAAAAGAAATGTAATAAAATAAAAAGAAGAGAGTTATTACGAGCGGGTGCGGTGTTGCGTGGCCCAGCCTCTCCCTTTTCCCAGCCTTTCCTCTCTGGGCTGCTTAAAAATTAAAGCCGTGTCAATATGGCCAGGCCCGATTTCACCCCAAAAACTAGACGGACAAAGGGGTGTCAGGGTACAGGCACGACCCGACTCCTGGCCAGGAGTCACCGTTGGGGTGCGGGATGGCGAGAGGGTGCTCGGAGGGGTGACGCCTCCCCCTGGTCTTTCCCACAGCTATTCCTCGCCGCCGCCCTCCTCTTCCTCGGCCGAGGAAGCAGCGGGGCGGACGGAGCTGCCGAAAGCCCGTCGGTGGGAGCGATGGGAAGGAGGCCTCTGCAGCCCCCGGGTGAGTCTTGCTCTCTGGTGGGTTGACCTTGGCTGGCTGGCAGACGCCCACCCAGCCACTCTCTCTCCTTCCTTGGCTGGAACGGGGAGAAAATAAGACGACAAAGCTCGTGGGTCGAGATAAAGTCAGGGAGGTCACGCACCCGTTACCGTCGTGGGCAAAACAGACTCGACTTGGAGGAGATTAATTTAATTTATTGGTAATTAAAGATAGAGTAGGATGGTGAGAGACAAAACTAGAAACACCTTCTCCCCCAGCTTCTTCCCAACCTCAGCTTCACTCCTGACTCTCCTACCTTCTTCTCCCCACCCTGAGTGGTGTAGGGGAATGGGGGCTGTGGCCGGTTCATAACACCGACGGGATTCGGTCCTTCATGAATTGCTCCAACGTGGGTCCTTCCCACGGGCTGCAGACCTTCAGGCTCAACCTGCTCCAGCGTGGGCTTTCCATGGGCTGCGGTCCTTCAGGCTCAACCTGCTCCAGCGTGGGTCCTTCCCCTGGGCTGCAGACCTTCAGGAAGAACCTGCTCCTCTCCACGGGCTGCGGTCCTTCAGGAAGAACCTGCACCAGCGTGGGCTCTCCATGGGCTGCAGACCTTCAGGTTCAACCTGCTCCAGCGTGGGCTCTCCACGGGCTGTAGGGGAACCTCTTCTCCGGCACCTGGAGCAGCTCCTTGCCCTCCTTCTTCGCCAACCTTGGTGTCTGCAGGGTTGTTTCTCTCCCATTTTCTCACTCCTCTCTCTCACCGTTGGTTTTTAGCCTTTCTGAAATAACGTTATCATAGACGTACCGCCAGCATCGCTGGCGGGCGCCGCCTTC